ACTTCTGTGCATGTTTGTGTCAGAGCCGAGCTGGGCCAAGCCGTATTGCATTTTAGTAGTCTCCGGTCCAGACCGTTTTCAAGCTGTATTATTACGGGCTAGATATATAGCGGTTCAGTCAAATTCACACTTTTCACTAATTGTATCTAAATACATAAAAACCGGAACATAGCTACTTACATGGACATTTCTTTGCATTTCGAGCTGAGCAAAGTAGAATTATCCTGCTACTTCGAAGGGTTCTAGTTCATTACTTATCCTTCAACTACTCCAGTCGTTTCGACTAAAGCTAGCAACTTTCTAGCCAATGCTGCACTGTCTGCTAATTAGCCTGTTGCTAGTAATCTTGAAGTTCGCTTCATCCTTTGGAGAGATTGCGAACTCAGCATTTTTGGCGACAGAAGCACTTGGCAAGGCTTTAGCCGCTTCAAGATATCGCTGATGAGATTAGACACCACCAACTGGTTGGAATGTTGACGCTCCTGAGCACAGTGAGAAAACTCAAAACACAAAGACAACAGTGAACAATGAAGATCATAATGAATTCCTGGAGCACAATGAATTTCTCCTAGCTTGTCGAATATTAGAAATTCATTATGAAAAGTTAAAGAATTTCGAAAAATTTTCACCTGCCTGTTCAATAGCTCTCGTTCAGATGTAAAGTCATTTATTCATAATCTCCTGCAAATAGGTACTTTCTGGGCTTCAGAAGTTTGCTCTCTTTTCAAATATACAATAATTTTCTGAATTTTTTATGAGCATCCGCTTTTGTCTTCAACAACATTTCTAAGCCAGACGACCGAGACGAATTCTTCATGGCAGCTGACTTTCTAACTTACCTTTTTTACAGAGCTCACATCACAAAACCTTTTGGTTCTTTTATTGTATGGGCCTTTATGCTGGCTCTGAAAACTGTGAAATGTTTTTCTTAAGATATGAAATTTTTTAACAGATCTGAAGAAAGAAATTATACTATATTTTTATAAACACTATTTGTTGCAAAAAGACTGTTTATTAACAAAAAAATACACAGATCCAACCGATATGCATAAGTCATGGAAAGATATCAGTGGTGATTCATGTAATAGATAAGAAAATATAGCTACAACTGGATCTCGTCAGTGCGATGGTTGTAGTACTGATAAATTAAGAGCAATAACTGAAAAGTAAAAGTATGTAAATTTGTAATAGTTGAGAAAAAATGTATAGTAAATAAAATTGGAACGCATATGTAAAAGAGTACTGTGAACATAAAAGTTTGTAAAGGGCGGATATCTTGAACAATAGTTTTGAGGGATATCTTGAATAAAATTAAATAAAATATAAAAAACTGAAAGTGAAATAAAGCGAAAGTGCAGTAATCGGCCAGAAAACACGCGCATGAGCGAAAGTGTGCTAGAAAGAAGCAGTCACTGCAGTAAAATTCAATTGCACAAGTATTTGAGTGATAAAATTAATTAAATTCAAAATTACTTGAGAAACGCGATAAAATACCCAGCATAAAGTGTAAATAGCTTGAAAATAAATTTTTAATAAAAATCGAGAAAATAATGCTTTGCGTGAAGAAAAGGTTGTATTTTCACAGTACTTTCGTGTCAGCTCTTTCTCCACCCCTTCCGACTTCCTCCTTTTTCTTCCTGCCTCTTTCCTCTCCCAACCGTTGCCGAATAGCTATACAAAATACTCTTTCGATACAGTACTGCTTCAAATTAAGACTCAAATCACTGTCTGCTTTTTTCGACAGGCGAGTAGCTTTAAAACATAAGTTTTAGGGCTTATTTTTGATGTGTAGAAAGCAACTCTGTATATGAGCCATACTGTTTTTATATTGGTTATAGTGCAATGGAGACAGCAGTGTTTTCGCTTGTATGTAAAACTTTGATAAAAACGCTTTTCACCTCTTATCTTCATTTTTCTTTGATAGACAAAGGGTCTAATAATTCAAATTTGAGGGAGAGGAAACGAACATCAGAATCGTGAATAATCTGACCACCGGTCGATGTAGCGTTGGCCAAACTAGAAAAGTTATCAATTTGACTTATTTCAGCATGCGGATAGCGTAACCTGGCAACGATAAGCCGTCATCGTATTGAAGCAAGGACGTAATGCTCCGCAACTTTTTCCTTCATAATTTGATTTCCAGGTGACTGTGCTACGTGGCGCGGATGGTCTATCGAAAGGCTGTGCATTCGTCAAATTTGCATCGCATTCTCAAGCAGCAATGGCAATCAACGCATTGCACGGTAGCCAAACGATGCCCGGTGCTTCGTCATCGCTTGTGGTCAAATTCGCTGACACGGAGAAGGAGCGGCAGTTGCGCCGAATGCAGCAAATGGCCGCCCAAATGGGTTTGCTCAATCCGGTACTGGTCACCCAGGCTGGCGTCTATAATGCTGCTTACCAGCAGGTCAGCACAAAAATTTTCGTATTAATTTGCAGATTCTAAAATGATGCTGCATGCACAAACCGAGATATCACACATCGACTGGAACAACATTTATATGACTATCAGTTCAGTATATTTAAGGCACTTGTAGGGCGATGGGTACTTCATAGAGCTGGTGTCGCGGAAAACCTGCAGAAAGCCGGCCAAGAGCCACCACAAAGAAAAAGACGGAAGCTGCCCATGGCAGAGAGAGAAGGAAGTTGTATTCCATTTTGAGTATAAGAACATAAGGGCCTAGAGCATAAGGACCGGTGGTATAGCGGTAATATGTTGTGTCCGAATGCAGTGAGGATTGGTTCAATTCCGTACCGATCCAGAACAGTTTTCGAGAAAGGATCATAATCGCGACAACTGCTCCATTACATGTACTGAGCCTCGCGGTTGCACAGTGCGTAGAACCTAGAGTTCGGACCTGGTTTCTCAAATAAACTTGAATAAGACAGATTTAGACATGTTTAAAATATGTAGCCAGTTATGGTAAACTTTTGCAAATTTTACCAACATCAGAAAATGAGAATGGGCCTAAAATAGTTTATAATAAGTTACAGCATATTGCAGCAAGTTGTGGCTGTACATGTAGTGTTGGATCCAGAGGTCTTTTTTAGTGGACTCAGAATAGTTTTTGTGGAAATTACTTTATCAAATTAGTTTTATTGATTCAGTACTGAAATTTTCCATATTCCTAATGACACATATGAAATATTAGCGTTAAAGAAAAAGAAGCGAAGTTTTTGACGATGGAATCATGTTCTTGACTTCCAATTAGTACTAAAAATTGAACGTAATATTAGCAGACTTATTGGTTTTGATTATCATTGACAGCTCCTGATAACTCATGATTTGCTCTCTATGCACAGCAAAATATGAGAACGCAGTAAAATATAATGACTGTCTGATTCAAGAACTGAGCTTTCATAATGATGCGCGAAATTTTGTTGCCTCCAGACGCTGGATGTGTCTAGTTTTAGCGATTTGAGTACCACAGCACATGGAGATTATCTCCACCTTCTTCGTAGTCGCACATTTTCTTCTGGACGCAGTATCTTTCATTTCAGCTGTTGCAACAACAAGCGACTTTAGCAGCGGCGCAATCAGCGGCTGCTGCATATTTTCCGGTAGCTGTAACACCTCAAACAGCGGTTAGTTTCAAGCATATTTTTTAATATAAAGTCCTATTATATATTGTTGCTATTATTACCATTATTATTGTTGATATTAACATTACTATTATTAACATTATCGTCGTTGATATTATTATTATTGCTATTACTGTTACTAATACTATTACCAGATGGATGAAGAACCCAATCTTGCGTGATTTACAGAGCGACATATTGTTGTGGTGCCATTGCGTGATCATGTACTACTGTCCCCGCATGAGTCGAAATTTATGGCTTAGAAAATCAATCTTCCAGTTGTTGATTTACAACCACACCACACTGACATCAAATTCTTAGCATGTCACGAAATCAGATTTTCTTTAGTTTTCCTCTCAAATGATCTTGGAGAGGGCGAATATGAATTTCTTAAGAGCCCACAAAAATAATGCTCCAATATTTCTTGGTTTAATTTTTCTTGAATATGATTACATGGGTATAATTCAAATTGGAAGATGGCCGAAGGATGGATATTTGGACTGTTTTAGTAATCCAGAAGCTCGTTCTTAGACTTACATTTCCAGATAAGCAGCTGGCAACGATCGCAGCCTGATCAATTTTTCATGCATTTTAAAAAGCTTTCTGTGCTCAAAATTGGCCACAGAAAATTGATCTTGTGAGCTGTCTGAACCGTGTGTTTTGCATGATATGCATGAATGAATAGGATGAAATTTAATGAAATGTCACATTTAAGTGACCGCAGCAGCTGTTTCCTCTTGACCGGCAAATGTCGTCTGTCCCTCAGCGCTTGGGCATGAGAATAATTGAATCGTCTGGTGACTGGAAAATTTGCATCACAACGATATACATCAATTACATTTACTGGCAAGCTCAAGAATTAAAAGACCGAGGAAAGAGAGGGATGAGGAGGTAGAGGAGCAGAAGGGAAAAGAGATAACAGCTGTTGAAAAGAATGATGCTTGCAAAATTAGTGGTAGTACTCATCCACGGGTACTCTACACCCCCCTCCCCCACGTCGTCCTGGATACCCTATTTAGCAGCTTGACGTTTGGCTTCAGCCATTAATTCATTTGTAACCAGCAAATAATCTTCCCAATTAGAATCGTTTGCTGAATCTCGGTGAAAAATATCAAGGGTCTCTATGATATGTATCTTTTTAGAAAAAGCCTTTGCAGAAATTTAAAATTCAAATATTTGATTTAAGTAAGCTTCATAATAGATACTTATAAATAGCTATGAAACGGTTGCTGCTTTTAAAATGAGTGCTTTTGGGATTGACATAATAGCCAGTGGCGCGGGATATTAACAGAAGCAATTATTTTAAATCCATTAGGATTCCCAAAGTTGCCCCCCTCAAATGTTTCAGTCTGGGCTAAATTATTAATTTTAGTATATACTGTAGACTTTACTATTTATTTGTAACTTACTTATGAGATATTTAAAAGTTTACAATTCTGCATATCTCAGCATCACTAATGAATTTATATCGGTCAGTTTCGCATTACAGTAGGTCGTTACTTAATGTCTGATAAAGAATAAATAATTAGCCTTGGATACTAAATTAAGCATAATGGAGATTAGAACCTTTATTACGCTGAAATTAATGATTTAGCCGAGAATAAAACGTTTCAGTCCATTAAGCTTTGCAAGTTTTAGCTCTGTACCACAGTTGGACCTCGTCAGTACGACGGTTGCTGTGTTAACTGATATCCTATACAACTAATATAAAAAGTTAAAGATAATGACTAATTTTGAAATATAGCAATATGCGTTTTTGCACTTGTATAACGTGAAAAAAAAACCTTAGAAAAGAATATGTTGTATACCTTCCAGCCGACTACCAGAAGTTAAATCGGGCAAGCCATCTTGTTAGCGGATATGCTGCCATCCGGGCTACTACCGAACACCTTTCGGGCTTTCTCGAAGAGGATTTTGTCTTTTATATTAAGTGATTGGGGCCAGCCAGTTCCACTAAAACTCGTTAATTTGAAAGTAAACTGGTACTGGCTTACTGCAGTACAGTGAATGATCGTAACCGTCACCTACAGGCCTTCGAATACCCCTGTATACCGTACTCATAGGTTGCCAGGTCCAGATGGATGCTGAAGGTAAAGCGCTGCCTCTCCAGATTTTCCTCTTCTGTTAGGAAGTTAGGGGAAGAGTTCTTCGAGCTGTCTGTTGAACTGCTCGATAGCCTGTGGTCCTCGTCGCAAAACAAACTAGGTCGGGGCTGAAATTGCTTCAGTAACTTTTCCACAGCAGAAATTCAGCGATTTCAGCTATCAGCGGCCGGATTAGCGGGCGCCGCGAATCCAGCAGCATTCCTGTCGCAGCATGCCTTGCAGCCGTTTTCAGCTCTATCGCTCCAGCAACCGAATGCCGTTCAAGGGATTTCCACATTATCTCAACCGTATACACCTGCTGATTATGCCGCTGCTGCAGCCGCTGCAAGCGTCTCACAGTATGCTCGTAAGTTTGTTTTTTTATAGATGAATGCAGAGATTTGAACTAAATAGGAGAAACAAGGGCACAGGAAGAAGAGGAGAATGAACTGAAAAACTGTGAACTAAAGTGTTTTGTCTAGATGGTGAAGGCCTTAATTCAGTGTCGCCATGGAACTTCATCAGTACAGTAGTACGATGCTAATTTAAAGGTGCCGAAAAGGTCAGTTAGCTAGAAACAAAGTGATTATAATAAACCCAGCCTGGAACGCACCCAGCGGGCCCGTGCGATCATGCGTTTTTGCACCGGACTTGAAGTACTCAGATCATTAACTTCTTGAGCGCAAAGTCTACTGGTCTAGCGGCAACATATCGTTTCCGGATGTGAAGGAAGTGGTTCGATCCTTTCGCGAATCATAATTATTTTCAAAAGGGAAAATAATTATGAATCGCAAAAGGATCGAACAATGCGCGTCACCCATAAGTTCTCAATTCTGCTGCATTTCTGGACTAACCTCTTTCACATAACTCTGTACATACGTTCAAATAGATCCATTCTAAAATAATTACGAGTAGAATGTTTTAGCGTCATCCAGTGCAGCTGCTGGTGTAGCTGTGGATCCGACAACGTATACACTGCCAACCACTGCGACACTGCCTTCTGCTGTGACCCTACCAAGCACCGTCACATTGCCTTCTGCTTACAGTTCGTTGGTCAGTCTTGAGCAGCAAACTAGTAAGTTTCGCCAGTGTTTGCTTATGAGAAAAAAAAACGTGATTGTGTTTCAAGTGTGCAATAATGGTTCAAAACAGGGCAGGCATAGTTAAGCTCGAATAGATTGGGTGTAGCTAGCCAGATCTTTCGGTCTTGGACTGTATACCTTCAGTTAGTACCTACAACCTGTTCGATGTGCAGTTTATTACTATGTTTAGTTATCATCAAACATAAAAAACAAAGGCTGGAACGCACCAGGCGAGCCGGTGCGATCATGCGTTTTTGCATCAAAAC